CCCCAAAACCCCAAAACCCCAAAACCCCAAAACCCCATTTGACAGGATTACATGAATATCTGAATAGGAGAAAATTAGAGAAAAGTTAAAAGTTTTGTTATTTATTTATATTTGATTTTTTATCATTTTCTTTTTTGACCGATATAGCCAGTTGACTCTCTATGCTGGAACTGATAATCCCTCATTTAATCAATACCATATTAGACATTTCCACCATTGCTTATTTATTACTGGATTTATTGTATCATAGATTCTCTCTAAACCTTTTTTGTATTTTTACTGTCCTATCCAACTTTTTAGAGATTTTTCCTTAAGTTTTCTGCAAATCCTATCGAATCTAAGGTAATACTTAGACTCTCTTAGTTGTATCTGTTTTTTATGTCTATAAGACCTTAGCTCTTCTTTAAATTCAAATTCCTTTGACTCTCTTCAATGTCATTTTACTTTTTATTTTCATAATTCTAAATTTTGTCATCTTTAGTTGGGTCTTTAGAATTTTTAAGCATGTTTATCATTTTCTAATACTTCATTTTGATCTCCTGAGTGCTTTAGAATTTTTCCTCTGAAAGACTTTCTAAAAAATCCTCTACCTCTCTTTCTTTTTGCTTCATAAGAACTTAGAATTAATCTAATACTAGCTTTATAGGCACTTTAGGATCAAAAGTCTCTTCTTATTTATTAGATTCTGGATTTGAGTCTTCAAATGAAAAGAAATCATCATTTGTTTCAAGCATTTTAAATATCTTGGTGAGATTTGTTATTTTCATTGCTAGGTCACTCATTATGTTTAGATCTTCAAAAAGCTTCTACAGTTCAAAGATCTCTTTCTCAACTAATTATTCTTCATTTTGAATGTACTGTACAACTAGTTAGATCTAAGAGGTAATTCTAGCAGCTAGACCTCCACCACTTAGAGAAGTATTTGATCGGTTTCCAAAACTTATTACACTCTATGATGAGCTGTACCTATGTTTAGTAGATTTCTGAGCCTATTTCTAAGCAGATTGCCCGTATTAAGATTATTTTTTATCATCATTTTCTATTTATAGAGAGAATTTAGACTCGTGAATTACTAAAGAATGTCCAAAACTTTCATTATTATCTTAGCTAATTTCAGCCTTTTTATTTTCTCTTCTATTAGGTGATTTTTACAGTAATCCACCTGACAGCTCAATATTGAAATTCATAGATCTATTCTGAAAGCTTTATTTTTTACGTTAAGCTAATCTCATTCTAAACTGTTCTGACTATATATTTTATTCCTTCTTGACGAGTTTCAGTGCCTCATCATCATTATGTTCCTCTATTTTCTCTTCTATAATTTATTCCTAAATCTTGGCGTTTTTCTTTTCGTGTTTGTAAACTTCCAGTTGCAGAGCATCATTTAACTTCTTTTTCGATATTTACTTCTCCTATCAAATGTTTTTAGAAACTTAAATCATACTCTAATTTGTTGTAAAGTCATATTCCTTGTCTTTTCTGCTTTTTAATATAATATACTTTCATTAGTGCCTTCAGGGTCATCTGTAATGCCAGCAATTGTCAAAATTTCTGTCTTAGTCATCATTGCCTTCATTTTGTTCTGATAAAATGTCTGATTGTCGTAATCTCCCTTTGTGTTATAGTACTCAATTGCTAACTAAAAAATAATGATATCTAAATTAAGAGATATATACAGCATATAAGTCCATCAGTTCTCTAACATGCCCCTTCACTGCATCAGGCCTTTCACACTAAATCTCTAGTTTGATTACCTATCGCGCAAAGTCTTTCGGTAACACTACTTTTTCATCTTAATAATTGTCATATTCATCTTCATAGTCTTATTCTTCGAATAAAGAACGATGCTATTCATTTAGAGTACTTCGCCTGTCTCTCGTGCTAGTGTAGTCCGGCTCCTCGTCAGCTTTTTTGAGTGAACCGAAAAATCGCATGAACATTATGACAATGGAGAGTGCTTATTATAATATATTTATATTTATATGTCTAAAATTATTAAATCTTCTAATTAACAATTTGATCAACTTGGGGTTTTGGGGTTTTGGGGTTTTGGGGTTTTGGGGTTTTGGGG